TCAGGGGAAGGAGACCAGCTGGAGGACTCACGGTGGGCTGGCAGAGCAGGAGGCGGGCATCAGCGACGTGGGCCGGGGGGGGCTGCAGCTTGGCACACACATACATCACATTGGAGAAGAGCCAGTGGAAGCAGAGCTCCACCCGAGCCCCGCAGGGGAAGGTCACCATTTTGCTTGGTGGCTCTGGAAGGGAAAGCTGAGAGGGGTCAGCTCCTCGGAAGGTCCCGCTGACACTTCCCTGCAGACTGGTGTCCCTGAGGGGTATGGGGACCTCCAGCCCTCTCCTCCCCCCTACCCGGTAGCCCTCCCCACATCCTGCATGGCTCACCGTGGCCGTGTCCCCAGCGCTCAGCAGCTGCTCCCGAGGGACAGACTGGGTCCGTCAGGGACCTGGCTTCCTTCAGAGTGTGTTTGATTTCCATCACCTGCTTTCCAGTGATTAAGGGATCCCGGCCGATGTCTGAGGGAGAGAGTTTGAAGGTGCAAGGGTCACTCCAGGTTCCTTATTTATTTCCTTGCCTTTCAGACGTGAACACCTCTGTACTGCTGCCAGGATACTAAAAGCTCACATGGGGCATGGCCTGTGATTTGGTTTTTAGGGAGGGATGGCTGGCTGGCTGGGATGGGATGGCGTGGAGCCACTTGGTTTCTGCTGCTATCTGTTCTCACCCCTGAGACCAAAGCAAGTGGTTTCTAGCTCGTCCCTTACCTTCTAACACATCCTCCAGCATGTGTGTAACCTTCTTCTCTTGCAGAATATGTTTCTTCAGGTATTTCATGAAGATCCCGGAGCTGAACTCCCCATCCTGCAACTCATAGGCTTCTGCATCTTCGCTCCTGCAAAAGTAAGGAGTCATCCTCACTGCAACAGGCACAAAGCCCTGGGGGCAAGTCAGGGCTTGCTGACTCCATCCAGACTCCGTCAGCTTAGTTCCAGTTAGCTCCTCAAGCAACGACATGAAGTGCTTGGTTTTGGCCCAGGAGAGGGTGGGAAGGGCATGGGATGGGAAAAAGCAGCAGAGGGGGATGGGAGAGGAGAACACAGCCTCTTTCGCCGGCCTAGGTGGGTGACAGTGGTTGAAAAGCCAGCAGAACTGGCACTGGAACAGTAAGCAACACTCATCACCTCAGGACGCTTCAGCTGACCTGCTCATAGCACATTCACCTTGGGAATCAGGCTCAGGCCTGGAAGGACAGATGACAGGAACGGATGCCACCTTCATGCATAACCTGTAACTGATGCACAGGCTGCCACTAGTGATGTCAGGAGGAAGGAAAGAAGGGTCTGAACAGCAAAAGCTAGAGATGAAGGGTGAGAGCCAGAGGAAACAAGAAAGAAGCCCTCTCAAGCCTCCAAAGCTACCATGCATGAAAGGATGCAAGGAGATACGACTGTGCCAGCATTTGGTCCTGTGCCACAATGTGGGGACAGCAAAGTGCACTTACGTGGCGTAGCCATAAACGGTATTGCCCCAGGGCTCCAGCGGCTGTACCTGGGAGAGGGCACACTCTGGGTTGTACCTGGAAGAGGAGACAAAGGCAGGAGTCAGTGTCAAGGACATCCGTCAGCATGTGCCTGGAGGGGACAGAGCCCCTATGCTCCACCAAGTCCATCTCCTATGGATGGCAATAAGATCAACCCTCACATCAAATATAACCACCTATATTACTTGGGCAGCAACAGAGGCAAAAGCTAGGAGTCCTACGAAGAACACAGGGAAGTGAGTAGATAGGGCCAGCTCTGACCTACCTGCACTGGTGAGCTGCTCTCTGCCCTGCAAGCGAGCCTGGAGCTGTGGCTGCAACCATGTCTCCTCCATCCTGAGGCTGGTTTTTAACAAATCCAGGCAGCAGCATAGTGCAGAGAACATATGGGTTCACTGAGGCCCAAGGGACGACTGTCCCTACAGAAGTCATAGGTATGCACATTGTATGGCTATGGCTCAACAACCTGTCCCAGGGGTCCAGGGTACCGCACAGGTCCCTTCCAGACCATGCATATACCTGCCTCAGGAAAACAAAGCATGCTACAGCTGATACACCTCCAGATCTCACGGAGAGATAGGATCTGGACACACACCCAGGTCTCGAAGCCCAAAGCTGGTCCCAGCACCCTGGTCTAGATGCAGCTCAACGAGCATAGACTCTGTTATTTCCAAAATCAGGTAGATCCAGAGTGACAGTCCTGGTTTCCGCCGAAAAAACATATCATGGTTGTACTTAATGGCCAAGCCTTGCCCATCTGATTGCAGCCAGACTGAACGTCATGGGGACCAGCTGCCTCCACTTTACACCAGTGACTTGGAGCTGTTCCCAGTTGCGCAGGGATAAGAGTCAGGCACTGAGGTGGTGTTACTCCGCCTTATTCAATTCCAACACAGTTTCCTGGGGCTGAAGCTGGCATGCTAAGGAAAGCAGAAGGGACGGTTGTATCACCAGCAGCCAGCATATTACCTACTCCTGGTGGCACAGTCTGGAGATGTTTAATGGCAGTATTCATCTGGCTTGTGCAAGTTTTCTAAAGACGATCAGAAGAGAAAATGTGGAAAAGGAGCTATGCTTCTAAATATGAACATTGAGCAGAGAGATTTATCTGCTCCTCAGCGGCTCCTAAATGAATGCAGAAATCTGGGATGCCAGGTCCAAGGAGAAATGAGACATTGGATCCCAAAATAATCTGAAGTCCTGTTGTCCCCATGCTGGGGACATCTACCCAAAGCTGCACAGACACAAGTTGATGCAAACCTTTTGTGATGGCACCAGCAGGCATCCACAGCTCCAGCAAGCCCAGCTACTGCCTGCAGCGGAAATCTTGGCTGTGATCTCCTGCCCCAACAGAAGACAAGCTTCAGCAGGGGCATTTCCAGACCATGACCAAACACAGGGAAAGGCCTGACAGTGGAGAAGGTGGCAGCGCTCCCTCCTGCTCCAGACTCAAAACCACTCTCAGTAACACAGCACATCTCATGCAATCTCTCTCTGATCTGCAGCGCAGGTAGGAGACACTGTCCTCCTTCTGTCCTAAGTGGCACATGTTAGAAACCCTCATAAATCAGGGAATTCCTAGAAGAGGCAATCGCATCCACCCAAAATCAGCACACAAATGTATAAGGCTACACGCAGGCTCCACGTTCCCGGTTCCTCCTCTGCTGAAGCTGAACATCTGCTACCACTTGGCAAAGGGGGATGTGTTTCTCATCGCCTTGGCATTTCTGATGCCGACATATGGGGTGAAGAGATACTCCGAGTGAGTTCCCTCTTAGCACAGACAACAGCTCCTCACAGTTCACGCACAGCTGACTGAACTGTCAACAGACTTGCAGCATCAGTCCAACCAAAAGGGCGTTGGGAAAGTAGGCCCCAGGAGCCTTGTTTTACAGAGCAGTGTAAACACATACAACTATGAAATCCAGATGCTTTGCTGAGCTGAAATAGTGACTTCTCAAGAAAAATGAGCTCAGGAGAGAGCTTCTACAGCAATCCCTCACAAGCACTAAGTGCTGTGCTTGCTGTGAGAAAGGGGAGGAAAGAAGTGTGAGGTTTGGAGGAGGAAAGAGAACAACGGCTGCACAACCATGCCTAAACATCACAGCAGATCTCACACTGCATCCTTTTCCCAAAGTGCCATGAAGACTCCCCTGAGCATGGAAACCACTGGCAATGCCAAGAAAGGAAACGTCAGCTCAAAAGCTATTTCATAGATTGTCACTGTTCACATTAGTGATCCCTATGCAGCCTTCATGTCACCATGCTGCCTCCTCATCACACACTGCACTTGGATGGGCTACCAGCAGCCTGAAGACACACTAGCCCAGCTCCACCAGTGCATCCATGACAGCCAGGTGCTCCTGCTCAGCTGCAAGCTGTCCCCTGCATGTTATCGTGCTGGGGAGAGAGGCAAGGGGTTGCCACGTGTGGCAGGGGACAATTGACAGTGCAGGGAAGCAACACACTCTGCTCGCAGCAGCAGCAGTGAGCAAGAAGGGACAAAGAGGATGCTTCACTATGGGGCATTCAGGGCAGGTATTAAGCGACACCAAGCTCCAGCGATGCTGGTAACTCAGAGTTGCAGCAGCAGGAGAAGTCCCAGCACAGCCAGCTTGTAAGCTATTCAAAGCAAGTATTCCCTCCTCTGCAGCTAAAAGGCATCAAAGATTTAACATCTTTCCAGGAGCTCGCAGCTCTTTCAGGGCAGCAGTATCAAAATCCCAGTCATCTTTCTGGTTCCTGGTGCAGGAATCACAGAAGGAAGAGGGAGACTTTTCTGCATTTGCCCTCCATGTCTTTTCTGACCTGTAAATCCGCCTCAGGAGACTGAAATAAATGAACTAATGACAGCTTCTACTGAAATAGCCTACCTACCTCCGCTGAAAATGGGTAAGTAGTAATTTTCTGCAGCCCACAAGCTGCAGGATTGAGAACTGCAGGCCAAGGGAGGATGATGAGCTTTCCACAGACAGAGGGAAAAAGCTGATCTCTGACCTCAGTAGCAGCCTGGGTCCCACTTCACGACATGACCACTTCAGAAGCATTTAATGCCAGTAAAAACCAAGCAGCATGGCTTAAAATATTTTCCCCATCATGTTGCACTCTTCTCACTAAGATGTTAAGAAAAATTCAGCCAGGAGAAGACAGGTGAGCTAGACAGTCCCAGCCTGAGCACGTGGGCAACACGTACCATGAAAGCACAAGATCAGTAAGATGCTGCTACAGCCTGCCAGGTCAGGTGGTTCAGTGTAGGGGTTGAAACACAAAAAGACAAACTCTATGCTGAATTTCAGCCAACAATTTATGCCAAGGCAAAGCCATTCCTCTGCAGGCTTTAGGTGATTTGCCTGTATTTGCCAGGCTTCTTCACCCCAAAAAATCAAGGGAGGGTATCCAGCCCCTTCTCTCCAGCAGACCTCAGCATCTGATGCTCTCTATACCTAATACGTGACCGACTGGTCTTCCCAGGACATCTTGCAAGACCTGACAATCTTGCTGATTTTATGACACAGCTCGATAAATTTTGAGAGAGAGCTGGGCTCAGCAGCTCAATGCGGGATGTGGCCCCAGCAATTCACAGGAACATCCCACTTGACTGTGTAGAAGCCCACTGCTGAAGCAGGGGCTGAGGCTGGCAGCCATTTCCTCGGACCCCTCAAAACACTACACTCTGCAAGGAAGGGGAAAGAGCACCCTACCATTTCCTGCAGGTGTCCAGCAGGATGAGGTTCAGGGCCGTCTGCTGCTGCTGCATCTTCTGGAGGATCCTCTGCACACTGATGCAGTTCTCAGGGGCATAGGGTTGCGGAGCGTCAACGGGGACCATGTAGTTCCTCCCCGAATGTTCATACCCGTGCCCGGCATAGTAGAATATAGCTGGGAACAGGGAGAGGAGAGGATAAGTCACAATGCGAACCTGCGGGTCTGTAACCAGCTCCCCACAGCCATGTCCCACCACCTGTCCTGAAGGGATACTGGTGCAGGGCAGACCTAGACCCGTAGTATCTATGAAACTGGAGCTATGCTGACCTCACAATTTTGACTTTTTTCCAGTCCATTCCCTTCAGCAGAGTTGGAAGCAGCCCTGAGAGGCTCTCCTGTACTTGCAGCTTCCAGCACCATTCGTCAGGAGACCCCAAAGTCACTGGGTTTACACGTTTCTATAACCATCTGTGCTACAACACCCAAGCTCGCCATCTGCCAGGCTGAGTAACAGCTTTGTATAAAGTTTTGGTTAATCATCAGCTCTTTGCAAGAATATGAGGACAAAGTATTTTACTATGATGAACATTAACAGCCTTTTAAATGAGAAGCTCCTCAGTTTCCTAGTTTTGGAGGAGAGACTAGCAATGGATTAGTCAATGGGAAACACTCTCCAGATTTCAAAGGTCTGCCTGTATTTACACATCTATAAGCTGGTGAAAAATGTGATAGACACAGAGACATGAGTTCTCCAGATGTCCAGAACATGTGGACCACATGCTTCAACAACCTCAGACCAGATACCAGCCCTGTAAGGTAGGACAGGAGTCAGACTCATCCAGGTGGGAAGTCCAATAGCCAACAAGATTTTTGGTTTCAAGTTTTACTCTTAAGCACATGAGACAGTTATGCTTTCTGCCTTCACAAGAGACAGCAACATGGGAACATCCAGCTTGGAAAGCCAGCACTGAGGAGCTTGTGCTTGTGCACCCAAGCTGGTGTTTCTCTCTGACCCGTGTGCGGCAAAGGGCTTTCCTTCTGCACAGGAATCCCCATGGGGGCTGTAGCTTCACTGCACAGCGGCTGGCTACCCCTTCCCAGCACTGATGTCGCTGCCTGGGGGATGCTGGTGAAAGCCAAATCAGGGAACTGAAATGCATTCAAAATAGCTCCGCAAGGCGACGCAAACAGTTGCACTACCGCAATTGAGGGCCAGTGAAGAACAAGAGGTCAAGAATGGGAACAAGTGGCTAAGAGGCAAAAGCAGGAGAAATTCTTCAGTCAGATTCACTGCCAAAGCCCACACTTCACTGAGTAACTTCTCTTTTCCCTCCCCTGCTCCTGTCCCTGTAGTTCGCAGGACATTCAGGACACTCACTTTGACCTCTGACGCTGCAAGGGATGCAGTGAATGGGGCAGGACCTGAAGGACTGAAAGCATGATCTCATTGTACGGAGGATGGAAAGCATGATCTCATAGTAAAAAAGGCCTCAAGTCACCTTTGGTTTCTATTCTCAGGGGACTATGGAAAGTTACTCAAATGGCTGTTTTCACAGATGCACGCAAGGTTTGTGTTCCTCTTCTTGTGGATCGCCAGCCAGAGACAGTGGGCTCTGATTTGCATAAGTTTTAAACTTTTATAACTTGCAAATCAAAGCCACAAAAACCTCCCCTAAGACTATAAGAGTATAAACCAGAAAGCCTTCTGGAAAAATCAGATGCAGGCACTTCAGGTTTGGCCCTCAAGTCATTGAGCACTGACGGCTTTCGTCCCTCTGTCTCTCCTCCTGTATGTGAAAAGGTGCAGGTGATGACATCCATTACCAGGCAGCATCACTGACACTTGGAAAAAACTGAAATATTACAGAAAAGCCCCAAAAGAATGATTCAATCATTAAATCCTCTAACTTTCGAGGTCTTGTTGTGCACCCTGAATGCACCGCCAAGTGGTCCCCATGCTATATAAACCTCAAAGACTCGCATTCAAATCAAAAAAGACAGGAGTATCACATCAACTGAGGAACTTTTCAAATCACTTCTAGACTTAATCTCTCCTCCTGAACATGAAAGTCAACAATTTGCCTAGAGAAGGAAAGGTTTTTTTTTATTCAGAGTTAACATTTCAACGCTCTTCTCACATCTCGTGAGTCAAAACTGCTGATCAGGGACAAGCTTCTGAGTACCAAATTAAAAAGGGGAAGCTTCAGGCACTGCTTATAATACAGGAAATGTCAGCATGCAACTCAATTAAGGCATGATGGCTTATTCCTAGTATTTCACTCGCAACTTTCTGCTCTCATTGCACTTCTGACATTATTTTTTTTGACTCGGGACTTTTTAGGATGCTCAAAATAACATCCAGGGGGATTCCTCATTTGCCTGAGGGTTGCATAATTAGACCACTCAGGGGATGTTTGTGGCCTTCAAAAATCCTCTGCACCTTTTCTAAGAGGAGATCTGGAGGAAAAGCAGCCAGATGAGCCACCACCTCCATACAGTGAATTAGAGAAGCCTTTGGATCACCTCCGACGGGCATCCATACAATACTCCTGTGCCTGAAAATGAAGCCAGGTTTTGCTCTGGGCTTGAGATATCTCAGAGGAGGTTCAATAACAAGGAGGACAAAGTCCTGCACTGGGGCAGATAAACCCAGGCAGCACTTTGACTGAGTCCGAGTACTGGCTGAGCAGCAAGCCTGGAGATAAGGGCCTGGGGTCACAGCAGACACCATGCTGCAAATGAGCCAGCATTGACTGGAGACAGAGCTACACTAAGAGATGCAGCATCGCCAGAGAAGTTGCCACCGTTCTCCTTGGCCCCAAGTAGACCCCACTTAGATCCTGTGTCCAGTTTTAGGGACCTAAGTCTAAGAGTAAGGTGGAGAAGCTGGAAAGAGGCCAGCAGAGGCTACCAAGATGTTGGGGCCCAGGGCCTAGGAGGAGAGGGGGAAGAAGCTGGCCTGGGATCACCTGGAGATGTGGAGGCAGAGAAAGGTCTAACAACAGCCTACAGTTCCTGGAGGGGCAGTTACAGACACAACAAAGCCCAACTCTCCTCGTTGCTGCGGACCACGCAACATGGGGCAACAAGCACTAACCCATGGATGGTTATGTTTAACAGGAGGAAAGACTTCCCTGGAGAGTGAGTGGTGCAGCCTGGGATAGGCAGGAGGATAAGTGGAGGGCTCCATGCCTGGAAGTCTTCAAGACCTGATAAGGAGAGCCACAACCAACCCTGATGTTGCATTGATGACTTCAAAGTCCCTTCCCACCAACCCCTGTAGGAGTGTAAATCACAGACAGGTCAGTAAGGACACGCAAGGGAGGGTTAGCCATCCAGAGAGCCCATCCAGAGGCAATAAGAAAGAGGCCTAGGGAGGTCAGACACATCTTCAGCTCTTATCAGCATCCTGAAGCTAAACAAAACTCTACAAGCAACAACGAGCACAGTGCTCAAACACTAACCCACATGGCTATGTCCTCTCTTCTGATCTGCAACAGCAGAAAGATGCATGAATGCCCCAGTACCTCTGCCACTGGAGTTAAACTTCAGAAGACAGCCGGCCTCACTTCTTGGGCAGGCTGATAGGTGTGTCTGTGTTAGACGAGAGTCTCTCACTTCAGTTCAATGACAGTCTTTCACCAGTCAGCCCTCTCCTCCCAGCTCCCTGCTTCGCTCCGTACGTCTACGCAAAGCTCTCCTGACTTCAGCTGTGGTGGTTGCTACACAGGAGATGGCACCTCCAGGTTCCTTGAGTAAGAAAAACCAGGTAGAAGCACCGGGGTGCCTCTGTGCAAGTGCATGTCTGACTCACACACACGGATGTACAGGACCAGCTATCACAGGCATCCCTGGGGTCTTTGTAGTTTAAACAGGCTGCCTAGGTTGTTCCTGGAGCTACTGTCTCAACACTATCTTCCCATGCGTATGAGTTATGTGAACTGTATTATCCTGAAGCTAGTGCCTTGAAAAACTGATACATAGGGTTTAGGAGGAGTTATTGACTTCTTCTATGTGTTTTTATTAACAAGACAAGTTAATTTCAATGCTTTGTACTTCACCTGGTTATTTTAATTTTATGTAAGGAAACAGCTGAAGAAATGCTGGAAGATGCATCACAGTGAGAGGCATCACACTTCAGATAGAGAAACCCTGGGGCAATCAGCAGGCAGACTGATCCAATGCCCCATCATTAAGTCTGGATGCCACCAATTACAGCAAGAGTCCTGAACTCAACCACGCTGCTGGGACCAGCCTGCGCTGGGGTTCACTGCCTCTAAATAACAGTAGACCACTCAGCTTAGAAAGCTGTAAAGAAAACCACCATCCAGAGCAGGCTATGCCTAGCAAACACTTGAGGCTTATCAAGGTTCAGTAATTCAGCTGTTAATGTTTTTCCTGCCAGTGCACAAAATCAATTTTGCCAGGAAGGATCAGTGGCCACGAATGCAAAAAAGCACTAGAAGTTTAAATAAAGCATGACAGCATGAAAGGTTTGCCGTTTCCAAATCTTTTCTCTCTCCAATGCTTATGAAAACAAGGGAAGTGCCATGGATAAAATGCCAGTTGGTCCTCATCTGCCACGGATAGAGGGGAGGAACAGCAGCGCCATGGGAAAAGCATAGCAACCCCCCAGGGATGACTCTGGCGTGGGATGGGAGGTAAAGCCTGAGATGCAAGGGGATTTCAGACAGCAACCACAAAAGGAAGCTGCAAGCGAAGTCATAGGAATATGTTGTCATCAGATGATGTGCTTGGCTGGAGTGGCTGCCCTTCCCTGCCAACTCAGCCTTCCCAAATGAGTCACTGCTTCCCGGAACGAGGTGGCTTTGCAGCATTTCACTTGTGGCCATGTCCCTGTCCATTGTGCAACCTCCAAACCTCATGCTGAGCGCTGGGCTGGAATTGACCTATGCTGATTTTTGCTGTCCAAGTGCCCTGGTACACCATGCAGCTGGGAGGATGGTGAAGACAAACCTCATACTGAGGTTTGGAAGCAAAAACCAACATCTGCAAGGTGTTTTCAGGGTATCTGTCAGGCTGGGAGAACCTCAGAAACACCAAAGAAGCTACTTTCACCATCAAATCTGAACACCTGCTTTAAGATCCACTAGATCTGCTGGTTGGTTTTGTGTTTGAGGAACGCTTCCTGCTAGGACGGTGTGCAGTAAGCTCAAAGCCCAACCTCAAAGCCATCTGCAGCTGGGAATGCGCTTCTGCAAAAAGGCTGTCAGAGGCCCAAATTAGACCATCAGGAAAGAGAAACAAGGAAATCATGGCCAGCTGTAGCAGTCATGGCTCAAAAGGAGGTCCCCTTCTCACAAAGGAGAGTGGTGGGGGCAACTGACAGTCACTCTCCTCAATTTTGTCACCCAAGGCAAAACCAGAACACCTTCTCCCATTTGCCATCAGAAGCACTGGCTCCTCAAAACCTCAGCATGAGACCATGCTGTTGGAGTTGGAGGTGAGCCACGTGATGGAGAAACAACTACTTTACCTGCTTGTAACCTGGCCAAAATTGAATGGCATTTATCTAGGGGCTTCTGTCAAGCCTGGCACCGCTGCAGACTGTGATGCAAGTCTCCCTTGCCTCCTGCAAAGGAAAGTTCCGTTTCTTCTCTTTTAATTTAACAGCTGTTCAGAAAATTGCCAATCCCTGCTCCTCCCTGGCATCGACTGCTGTTACCCGCACATCGGCTCCTACCTGCTCAGCACTGGCAGGTAGCTGGGCTGGCTTTGCCTTACCGTAGACTCCCTTCCCCAGGAGCTGCAGGAACTGACTGACCGCTGTCACCATCTCAGCCTTGTTCAGATCCAGAAGGGAGACAACCTGGAAGCCCAGCTGCTCCAGAAGAAGACTCAGCTCAAACACATCCCTGATGGGAGCCATGAGGTTGGGATGATGCTGGTAGCAGTTGTTGCCCACTAAAAGTGCTATCTTGCCTGTAGCTAAATGAAACACCAAGTGACAAAGCTGTAAATGCTCAGCAGGAGGCAAAGTCTCACCTCCTGTTGGAGTGAGGATAAGGGACATCTTTCCTTACATCTAGGAAGGAATGATAGACCCTACACTGCTACAAGCCTGGAGCACCCTCCAGAAAGCCCTCGGCTTTCTGAACACTTTGACAAAATACACAAAGCATCATTTTTGAAAGAAAGACTTGAAAAGTTTTCACTTGGCAACCAAAATCCCAGGACTGCAGGAGGATCTGCACTACTAAGGTTATCTGGCACCTGCCCTACAGTGACTGCAGGTCTTGCGTGCCAGCGGTGCCTGGGAGGGGGATGCACTGAGCCAGGCTAAGAGGTCCTTTCCCCCATGGGGCTGAAGGAGAAAAACTCCAGGCTCCTGCTTTCATTTTATCCCCAGTTTCCACTGTAGGAAAACCAGATTTATGGCACTCAGCAGTGCTGGGAGCAAGGAGCTTTGCTCTGCTCCAAGGAGCTATTTCAAGGAAGGGAAAAGGTATCATGTCAACAACACTTTAAAACATATTTGGCAGGCACAGAGGTCAAGACTTGGTTGCTCATTAGGAATAATCTTACTCCACTTGCCACTGAGCAGGGCTTGGCAGGGGATGGGACTCATCCTGTGCTTTGCAGCTCTAATCCCAAAAACGCAGAGCACGTGACTATGTGGGCATAAAGGCTTGAAATGGTCTCTGCAGGAAAAGCACTCCTATGCCCTATCCTCCCATCCACCCTGAAGCCTGGCTTTTAATTAAGGGAATAATTGCTCAGGAAGAAAAGATGACAGTACTCACCAAAGAACTTTTCAGAGCAACATGTACCTGGAAAAGAAAGAGGGCAATTATAAGCTTGTGCCCAGCACCCCATTGCCAGCTCCCATCACACGTCTGAAACCCGCTCCAACATCCCCCAGCAATGCAAAGCTCGATCAAACACTGTGGAGCATCCGCACAAGCAACACTCCTTGGGCAAGTTCTTCATAGCCCGATTGCTAACCTTAAAGACACTGGTCTGGTGATTTTAGGATTTATGAAATCCTGCCTGATTTATGAAATCCTGAGCAGCTGGGACGCAAAGCTTGGAGAAGAGGCAGGCCAGGTGAAGGAGGGCTAGCACGGAGGAGCTCATACCCATCAGCAGGTCTGCACTACTCGTACCTGCCCTGCCTGGGCTGCCGCACTTCCCGAGATGACTTGTCCACTCCCACGCTGCAGCAAAAGTGAAGGAAACCCAAGGACTCACAGTCAACACAAGCTTCAAAACAGAGAGCTTCTCACCATGAACGGTCAAGTGCAGAGGAAGCCGCCTGTTTGCTTTTGATTGCGATATTCCCAGAGCCTTCCACCGCCCTGCTTTGCCTTTCCCTGCCTTTTAGCAGTTCCGGCTCAGAAAAGCCACCCCAAATGTGACTCACTTTCATGAGCTCCACAAGCTCCCCTGCCCAAGCACTCCCAGCCTCTTAAAATCATCATTACCCTAACAACTCCAGCTTTTCCTATCTAAATTAAAAATAATAACAACAAAAAAAATCCAGCCTAGGAGAAAACCCTAAAACCCTACAGGCTCTAAAAGAAGAAATTAAGGTCATATTTTTAATTGCATAAATCTCATGGGTCTGGAAGACCTTTAGCACCTGAACCAGTGTTGCTAATACACCAGGGAGGCCTGGAAAGCCATCACAACAACCCCAGTCATCCTTTTCTGCTTCTGACAGAGCCACCTGTTGCATGTTAAAGCTGCCTAGCTGTAATAATTTGAACCCAACTCAATCCAGTGCCCTTTTTTTGCTGCCCGTCCCCCCTGCATGCTGTTTTGCCAGCTGAGAGGAGGCAGGGAGAGTGCTCTCTGGCGATACAGGACCAATTTGCACTCTAGAGCAACTTTAAAGCCAGCCTAAAAGGTGAGATGAGCAGCTTATGGCAAAGAAAAATCTCTAGATGGAGTAAAGAGCCAGCAAAGCTAGCCTGTGTTATTTCTGTCTCACAGCAGGGCAAAGGCAGAGGGCCAAAGTGGCCGTCACACTGAAGGTGGAGCATGCTCAAGGCTCTGGGGACCCATCTTCTCCCTGGGATCCGTCAGCTCACCCAGTATCAGGCCTGGGCTACAAGCCTGAGAGGCCTGAACCTTCCCGCAATAAACACCATCTTCTCCAGCTCTATGTGTCTGAGCGCATCACTTCATCCCAGCAAGGCTGTAAATGAGTTCTACCATAGTCTCCCACTGCGATTTGGCTGAGGAGCTGTTAAACGAGCATCATGGCAGTGCAAGAAAACCACAGCAAGCACCTGAGAGCACTCAACCTGCCCTAACATGACAGGTTTCTGACAGACTTCAAGACCCAGCAGCAACCCACACCACGGTACAGCAGATTACCAGGTTTTAGGTTTTTTCTTTTACAGATGCCACTTCCCCCACTACCTCTGAACACCGTTATCAAGGAATCCTATTTATCACAGCCTGACAGATGCCTGCGCCTGCTGCTCGGCAGGGCTTGTGCAGCTCTGCTGAGATCATTGTATCCAGTATATTCAGGGTGTGAAATTGCACTTTGCAGGCTGTTCCCATGACAGCCACTGCAGGACTGCCAGGATACTCCAGCTTCCCTGCAGAGCCCCATGCTGCTTCTCTACTCTGAAGTGTCTTACCTTCGGCTCCCTGCAGAAGCAGTATTTAAAACTGGTGAGCGTGCTTTTTGTCAATAAAAGCATGCAAGATCTGTCCAAGCTGGGGGAAGGTGCAAGTGTCAGAGCCATGCATCCTACTTCTCCTAATCCCATGCCCCAGAGCCCAGCTTTCCCTGCAGTGATTGAGCCACACAGTAACATGCCAGCACTGGGCTCCTTGTTCATGAGGTCAGCGCTTCCAGGTGAGAGCACTAAATTCCTTTCTGCCCTCTAATTACTTGTCATGCTAGAAGGTGATTTGCAGCAAAGCACATGTGGGTTGGCTCTGCTCACCTATGTGAATATCCACAGCGTTGGTCCAGTGCTCTCCATGGCTATTGGAGGCACAGCAGAGGTACGTGCCGGAGTCACTGACCTTTGCATGGGTGATCTAGACAGATCAAAAGTTAAATCACATTATTTACAGTGAAAGTTTGCAGCCCCCTGCCAGTATCTGCCAAAGGCACCCATGTTCCTGGAATAAAAAGTCTTTTTTCTCGCTGTTCGCTGAAACCTTATTCCTTGCCTCATAAAGCTAAGATTTCCCATGACTTTTGTCTTTCTAAGAAGATCAGTAAGGCCACACACTAAGGTCTGCTGCTGACCCCAGCTTCTAGAGCGCAGGAATCCTCTGCTCAAATGCTTTCCCTTCTTTCTCTAGCAGCCCCAAAACCCTGTGTCAGAGCCATACTCTGCCCCAGGAGCCACATTGGGAGGATGGTGCATGGCCAACATCAGAAGGTTGCCTGTTTTTCCTCTTGGGTGACATTTTCTAGATTTCTGATCATGCCCATTGCTCTCTTCTGGCAAGTTTTCAACTCTTACACATCTCTCTTGATGTGGGACAAATATCAGAGCAGTACTGGCCAGCAAGGACTTCTGTGGTTCTCCAGCCCAGGCTCCTGCTCAGAGAGGAACTAAAGCCACCTCTAGGTCAGACTGGCGATGGCTTTGTCTAGTCTAGTCAACTACTGAAAACCTCCAAGGACAGAGATCTCACTGCCTTTCTGGCTCCAGTAGAGCACCACCCACCTCCAAATGAAGAACCTCTTGCTAATCTCCAGCCTGAACTTCCCCGTGAAAAGTGCAATCTGAGGCCACTATCCCCTACAGTATCATCTGCCATTACTGAGAAGAGATTGGATCTCCTGTCTTCGTTATCCTTCATGTGATGTCCCAGAAGGAAATCTGCTTTTCCTGCTTCAAGAAGACAGCACTGATTTACATTCAGGCAGTGACCCAAAATAAACCCTGACTCTTTTCTGTTGGGACTAAACACTTTTTCTTCTAGCTCTCCTACAGGCAGACAGCACTCCTGCAGCTCCATCACTCCGCAGTCCCCTGCACAGACATACAATAGCTGTTCTTATGCCATTGCTGCGAAAAGGCACGAAAGACATGCTGAGAGCCCTTGATGCATCTATGAATTGGTTACTTCTTAGAGAAACATCCACAGCTTTGAAAGAAGCCCATAAAACATACTCCCTCTTCACCTGGAGTCCTTCAGTCAGCTATCAAAGCAACAGGGGTGATACATGGAGTGCTTTCTCACAACCCTGCAACGCGGCAGGGAAAGATAGCTCAGCACAAGGCTGCTTCCCAAGGGCTGGAGAGATGGGGAGAACAGGCAAGGAGACACTGCCTTCTGCTGGCATTCACCTGACCACACAGATCAAAACACGCCCAAGTCTTGATAGGCAGACATGACTGCAACCTGTCATGTCCAGGATGACAATAACACAATTTTCAGCAGTCTCTCCAAGGCTTCTGAGGCTCTCCCACACCCACCATCCAGCAACGAGCTTCTCCCATCACCCACCTCAGCAGCCAAAGTTTCTGAACTATCCTGAGGCAACGTTACCCAGAGGTTTTTCTTCTTCTGGTGTTCCAGCAGGTTCCCATTCCGGTACCACTGGTAGGTGGGGGCTGGGACCCCCATGGCAGCACACCGCAGCTGTAGTGGCTTCCCCACCTCCACTGTCTGCTCAGTGGGGTTGAGTACGATGACGGGTTCTCCTTGCCAGAGCCGAGGGGGCAGTCCTGTGAAGCAGCAACACAGAATTGGTCCTCCCTCCGCAAGGACAGAAAACAACGGTCATTTTTTCCCCCTGTATCAGACTCTGTGTGTATTGCCAGAAAAGCAAGTTTTTTCCACTCACACCAAGAGATGCTGTCCCACAGAATGGCGGCGGTTGCAGCATCGCCGCTGCACCTTTCTGCTTTGGGAGCAGGGAATCCTTGAGCGTGACACCTGTGATAGTAAATGACACACCAAAGCCCTGCCTCTGGCTTCCCAAACCTGATGCTTGCCCTTTCCTGCCAAGGGCTCAGTCAACTTACTGAGGTCAACCACACCCGGAGTTATTTTTGCTCAGCTTTGAAATAGCCAGATTGCCTCTTCCAGTCCCTCTGTCCAACACAAACAGGCAAACACCCAGTATAACTCTGGGAAACCCAGGGTGAATGATCAGCAGGAGGAGCAGGTACATACAGCCAGGGTTACTGGGACTGTGACAGGGACCTAAATGATCCAGAGGATGAACGCAGAGGTCTGGGTTAGACCTGCAGGTTCACGTCGCTGGAGTGTTCCTTCTGTATTGTGATTTTCGATCTGGAAGGACACACTGCCCCAGGAACTGCACAAGATCACTGTTGTGAGGGCAGGCAAAGCATAAAATATAGAAAAGCTAGAAGACACACTTATACCTCTGGCGACACACTGATGGACCTCCACCTTCACCCAGTCGGAGAAGACGGCATTTTTATACAGGTCATTGATTCTGCAGGTGTAGAGTTGGGTCTGCTGTGCAGTGACGGGCAAGTCTTGCTTGGTGGCACCAGGAATCTGGCGGCAAACAGACTAAAAGGAAAACATAGGCAGTGGGCAGCAAGTCCTCCCTCATCACTGGTAGCAGAAGGCATCAGCAAGCCCCTTGTAAGAGCAGGAAAAGTGGAAATACCTGATTTCCTCCCCTCCTCCACCCACAGGGATGCAGGAGAGGGAGTTTTTCTATTGCATATGCCCCCCAGCATCTGCAGAAGCCCTCGGCATGCACATGCATCCTACCCTCCTCTCCTTCTAGCCTTCTGGTTCCCATCAGGTCTGCCTACAGAGGGCCAGCTCCATCACTGCAGGCAATGACCTAGCCTGGTGCCATACCCAGGGCCACCTCTGCTCCCACCGTTACCTGGTGCTGACAAAACCACTGGTACCGCAGTGATGTGCGTCCCTCGGCTCTGCACCGCAGGGTGAAGGAGTATCCCACGGGGACGGAGACAGAGACCGGCTGCTCGGTGATCACAATGGCTGTGGAGAAACGGGATGCAGAGGTGGAAACAATCCAGCAGGTGCAACCCAAGGGTTCGCTCCCACTCAGAGGTCAGGCACGCTGGGCTGCAAGAGGGGAACCCCGGCACCCAGGCCAGGAGGAAAGAAGATTTGGAAAAACAAGGATGCTCAGCCTCCCATGCCCAGGGGATGCCACCAGGCTTTTTTGGGTGGTCTCTTGGGGCCCAAACGCACGGGCAGCAGCACTTTTTTGCGCTGCAGGGCAAGGGGGATAGCCCAGGCC